CAAGAATTTTAAGGCTGCATTAGTGTTCAGTAGTCTTGGAGCAACATAACTGAATTCTGTGTAAGGTACATTAGTTCCATTTCAACTCTTAAATCTTCTCTCTGCAAGTTTTGCCAGTAAGCATGCTAACCTGTAGTGATTTGTCACGTGTTACCATAATTTCTTAAAGGAGGGCTAGTGAGCTGGTAGGTTTTTCTTCCTTTGAGTTGTTATGCCTTAATTTATATGTTAAAACCTATTTCTTAAACATTCTAAGTTTTTTGTTTCACAGCTTTCAGTATACTTCCTAGCTTGGTGGTTCCTTGATCTAATACTTCAATAAGATGAAATACTTTTTCTAGGAGTTAATATATACTCTTAAATGATGGTGCTGCTGAGTAAGCTTTGTGAAGGTAATGACTTGAAATGCCTGAGAAGTCAGGCATTGACCCACCATTGAGAGATGGGTTGGGTTTTTGTGTGTGTTTGTTTTTTCTGTTGCCACACATTCTGTATAACCTTAGGCAATCTGTTCTTCCTCTTGCTGTGCTTTCTCCTGCCTGTGGAAGTGAAATAATTATCTAGATTTCTTGAGACTAGGTATTATGTTTTTTAAACAGCAGTGACAACAAAAAATGTACTCAGGTTTTGGGTGAAGCCTTTGTTGTAGGTCTTCTGTTTGTTAAAAATATATTGCCTGCTATATAAATCCTGTTAGTTGTTATTTACATGTTAAAATATCTGGGCTCTAGGAGGATTATTTTCCTCACTTTAACAACTGTTTTTGGAGGAATTTCAGCTTTGCTTCATGGTCTTGCTTCAGTCTCTTTGCTAAAGAAGTGGCAGATTAGCAGAATTTGAAAATCATTATTGAGGTGGACATTTTTAGATGAATGAGTCATATGTACAATACCCACATTTGTTCCAGTTCTGTTAATTAGAACACTAAGTGGAAAGTAAATCACCATAAAGTTCAAAAGATGTTTTGATTTTTTTTCTGAAGTCTTGCAGATGCTCTCTTCTATTGAAGTTGCTGAGCTTTAATGCAAGTATCTTTTGTTGTGAGACTATTCCTCAAGCATAGCCATCTTTTATTGCCATCTGGTGGCAAAACCAATCCTCTAACAGAAAATGAATATTTTATAAAAAGAATTTAGATTGGTATTTCAGCTAACACAAATGATCTTAGAGACTTCATCAGTAGGAAGGCATTTGGAGGTCTTCAAGGACAAAAACTAGAAAGGTGCTACAGTGCCAATAGTAGGGGAGAAACTGGGCACTTTGCAGGGAGGAAAGGAAGACAGTGGCTGCTGTTTTCTGGATCCCAGTCTTTGGCAGCTACTCATTCAGACGACGAACAGGGATGCTGTAGAGACCAGTAAAGATGTGGGAGGTGCGTACCCCAAAAGCTAAAAAGTGACATCACCATGGGGAAAAGGTGGTAGTGACTGGTGACCCCTTCCTGAGACAGCGGAAGGCTCGTCACCCAAATAGGACTGATATGCTGGAAGAGGGATAGCGCTGCTGGTCTGAAACCTGAATTTAAGCTGTTAGTGTAAGGTTGCAGAGACTGCAAATCTTCTTTGCAACTGCAAATCTTTCTTGCTGCTGTCTGTGTGTGTGTACTAGTAACAGTGCTTGGAGTAATCTGAGCTCATCAGCAGTGACTGCTGAGGTCTGGCAGCATGGGTTTGAGGGCTCGGCCAGTTCTCCCATGAGCACCCTCAAACGGGGTATGGGCTTCAGCTCATGTTGGGACAAATGTATCGTACCCACGAATACTTGATTTTAGAAGTGGTTTTGTTTCCTGGATCTCAGGTTGATGCTCAGTGACATCAGGAAAGATGGAATCCCCTCATTGAAAGACTGGAAAATGGCTCTGTATTCACCCATCTTCAGAAAGATAATAAAGTGATAGAAAAATCAGTCAAAGTTCACTTTTAGGAAAAAGAAATCTGTAATTAGCTATTAACTAACAATCTGAAAGGTACTTGAGATGAATAGCAGCCAACACAAATTCATCAAGGGAAAAAAGCCTGTCATATCAGTCTAATTTATTTTTTTTTATTATAGGGTAGCAGGCTTGTAAATGTGTGGTAGGTGTCTTTTATCTTGGGTTCAGTAACAGTTTTTAAATTGTCTCATGTATTTCTAAGGGCTGTTCCATGTCTCATCACATGGCATACCTAACTTGGCTCTCTTCAGCTTAGAGACAGATTTATGAAAGATCTCAAGTGTGTATGTAATTTAAATGGTTTGAAAACAACAGTGGCTGTTTATTGTTAATAACAATTTAACATTGTGGTAGACTAAATCATAAAAGCATAGGGAGAAATAACTCACAGGAAAAATGAGAAGCATTTTCAAAGATGTTATCCCGTAACACCTGTTTGTATGATTTGACTAATTTCATCAGCATTGAAGAGAGAAATAATCACTTATCATGACAGTTGTGGTTGGATGCACTAAGAGAACTATGCTATGGTAGCTTTTTCACTCTGTTATCCAAGGTGCTTTGAATGAGTCTGGGGGGAAAAAAGTATTCTACATGCAAAGACAATGTTTTAATTTTTTATCTAATTGTTCTTTCTCTTAATGTAACTTCAGTTTTATACAGAAAATACATGTCTGAAAACTAGACATTAGGCAGGATCACTTTTTCTTGTCTGGCTTTGTGTCCATTCCCACAAAAACGTAAATAAAATGTTTTCCTAGTATTCTTCTGTGTATGAAAGGTGAAAACTGAAGACTGCATTAAAGCATGTGCTTCTCCAGTCTGGCTAAAGGCATCGTTGCCAAGGACAGGCTAAGGGCTGAGAGGAGCAAAACAAAGCACTGCTTGTTTGTTTGAATTTTTATTCCGTAGGCTGTGTGTGGTACCACAGGTTATGAACCGTTGTAAAGTCTATTCCTTCAGAACTAGTGGGACCACAGATGTCACTGGGAGGAATGAGCTATTGATAAATATTAACACAGCTAAAAAGTAGTAAACATTTTCATTTGAATTACCTTGAAGCCATTTCAGATAGGAACTCATTCTGTTACTGAGTGTTAAGTGGAACAAAAAGAAAAGCTTCCTTGACTATAAGCTGAGTCAGTCAACTGATTACAACTAGGCACCAAGTATTAATTACTGAATTTTGAAATATTTTTTTGAGAAAATCTGATGAACTACTATTAAAAAAAAAAAAAGTAACTAAGAAGAATACATTTTATTTTATGCCAGGAGCAGTGCATGAAGAACTGGGACAAAATAAGAACCACTTGTCAGCTCTATTTTCCAACTTTGAGTTGACAAATTTTACAAATGTGAATTCTGAAATGTGCTAGAGCAACTGAGATATCTTATTTTGTGCACCATATTATCATTCACTTTGAAATATTTGAATATTCCTTTTTTTTAATAAACTGTTGACATTGAAACATACAAAACCCCCATTCATTGTCATTTTGCTGCTAGAGCTAAAAAGGAATATAAGATATTCTAGAATTCTTAAGTTGTCAAAAGTAAGATGGAGGTTTTTGTTAGGTGCTCCCTTATTTTTAAAATAAAAGATGTATTATTTTTGTCTTAACAAGAGTGGGTTTCCCTGTCCCTGGTACTGTGAATCTGGAGGGATTATGGTATTGTAACGCAGAAACATCAGTGTTTGTTGCTTTCCCCTCCTCTCTTTCCTTTATTGGCTTTCAGTTTGCTTCAACTATTGTTATGGTTTCATGTGTGGATTTGACTTTTTTTTTTTTTTTAATAGCTCTGTCAACAATAGTAATAAAGTGACTTTTGGGAAACAGACTTCGGTACTGATACGTAAGGCCCTCTATTAAGCTGTATTCTTGGGTCAGGTCTCCTGAGCTGCTGTTCTTTTTTTGAGTACCAAGCAAGCTCTTTGCCCTGATGTTTGAGGGCTTTTTACCAAATGTTTTTTAGGGAAGAAACACCTAAATGGAACTTTGAGATCAGGCCTTGATTGCGGGATGAAATGGACGTACACAACTCTGTCCAGCCTTTGTCCGGTCCTACTGCTTAGACCTTGTGGGGACAGGATGTGAGCTTATATCTGTGATTACCATTTATGTCATTATTTCTGATTACAGCCTTGCTACGTGAGATAAACTTTTGTGTTCTGTTTTGCCCTGTTTGAAGGAAGAAGCTCCAGTTTTAAAATCCTGAAATGTGCTTTTGGTTATGCATCTCTAGGGCAGGAAATTCAGAAGCATACAATAAATAGAATAAGTATTTGGATTCAAGAGTCGAAGCAGGGACCTAGTGTCAAGTTCGAGTCTAACAAATGAGTCTGTATCTGTCCCTGATTCCTGTTTGATGCCCTTTTAAGGTAAGAGGGCAAGTTGTATGATATTGAAGCCTTAGGAATTCATTGTGTTCTCCCACTTCAGCAAAATCACAGCTGTATCTGTAAAAGCTTTTACAAACTTCTTAAGCACAGTTTGGATTTAGATTACAAGAAGTCTTTAGGAAATGAGTTGCATTAAAAAACCTTACAGTGTTTTTAAGTGATCTTATTTTCATGATGTACTTGTAAAAATGTACAGAACTCCTTTGTTAAAATCAGGTGTAACGTGGGCTGTTAGATTTTGAAATCACATGCTAATAATCTTTCATGATACAGAACTTGAATTCCTTTTCTTCAATTTATTGATGTATTACAGGCAAATGTAATCAGATGAAAACTCAGAATCTGATTCACCATCTGTTCCTTATTCTATTAATGTAAACAGTATCTATTTGAATCTTTCAGGTTGTTCCAGAAGATGACATGCTAAAGATAGAAGCAGTAAATCATATCCAGTCAACTTGACTTTTTAACTAACCCTTTCTTGTTGTAGGCTGGTTTTCATCTGTGCAATCATATCTATAGCATGTGCTCATATATAATGCTTTCCTGCCATCCATGAGGACATCCTTTTGTGCATACACATCTGAAGAATACTAGGAGCTTGAAAGTGGGTGTCCAAGTCTATAAGCCTGTGAAATACAGAGTTGCTATTGATATTTTTCACAGAGTATGCTGAATTTCTACACTGCAAAGGGAGGAAATTTACTGATTTTGATGAAGTTCGTCAGGAAATTGAAGTAGAAACAGATAGAATAACAGGAGTGAACAAAGGCATTTCTTCAATTCCTATTAATTTAAGAATATATTCTCCACATGGTAGGTAAAATCATTCTACTTTATATGTCTGTCATGTAATGTATTTCTTAGCTCTGTCTAGCTATCTCCTTTTGTATGTGTTCCCATTGCTCGATCAGAAGTCTTTTGGCATAAAAAAAGCTGCTGAGATTGAGTTGAACCAAAAGTGGATGTATATCTGGCAGAATCCTCAACTTCTCCTGTGTTACAAAACTAGTCAATGGTGGACAGCTGTTGCCACTAGAGCTGGAGAACGCAGACTCTCTGTCCCATTTAATATTCTCATGATTTAAAAATATTCTCAGTCTTCATCAGGATGAAACCAATCTCTTCCCCAGTACATATACCATTCGTTAGTAGCTCACTAGTAAAGACAAATAATAGGAGATGGGAGACTTAGTGGCAAAACTTCTTTTTGCCATCCTCCAGATGGATTCCCTGATCAGTGATCTAGAAAGTCATTATGTCTCCCTGCCCTATTGGATGTTTATTGTTCGCTGTCACTAAAAATGTATTTAGACAATAATGGTGTTTGAAGCTGCTTTCTGTTGTAGACCCCCAGTATAGATCAAAGTTAGTTCCTCTGGTTGCCATCTGCCCAATTTAATGAAGGCAATCTAGAGAAAATGTTTTGCATTGAATCTGTCTTGGATACAGGAGAAAAGCAGTATGTTTGGCTGAAGCACTTTATTCTTCTAACCACCTCATCTGATGTCTTAATTGCAAATCAAAGGACAGAAAGATTAAAATGAGAGGTAATTAAAAAGATGCTGAACCTCCCTTTGATATACCATGAGCAGCCTTGGCTGTAAACATATGCCCCTGAGCCCTTCTCTGCTATACAGATGTGGCATAGCCAACTGGAGAGGAGCTGAACTAAATGCCCTGCCTCAAAGCTTTTTTGTTGAACATGCTGACTCCAGGAGAAAGTGAAAATTTCCTACCTAATGCTCTTACTTTGTTTTATTAGGATTAATCTTTTAGTTCAGCAACTGTTGTCTGTATTAGCCAGACCTCAAATAGACTCCTGGTGTTTTCTTTCTAGGAACTGTCTTTCTCATTTGTCTAAAGGATACCCTGTTACCCCAGTACTGGCTGAACAAGCTAGGATGCTTCTAGTTGGCATTGTGGCCTGTACTGGGGAAGCCATGCCAGAGCAAAACAGGTTTTCTTAATGGATAAACCTTTTCATGTTTCTTAATTTTCTTAAGAAGCTATAGTAAGAAAAGAACAAACCCAAAAACCCGAAACAACAACATACCCCCAAAAATTGTTAACAACAATTTTGATATGTAAGTTAGGCTAGCTATCAACTTTTTTTTGAATTTCTTAATTGGAGACACTGTTGAAAGCATGGTCGGAGAAGGACTGTATTTAAAAAAAAAAAAAAGCCTGTTTTGGGTTGATTTGAAAGATGCAATGGGAATGGTCTGTTGTCTGTGCTCCTGTTGGTGGAAAAAGCTCAGAAAGCCATGTTCATTTGTCTAAGAGCCTTCAAGGATATTCAGTATAAGTATCATTCTTCTATGCCAATTGTAATGTTTAAAATATTATAGTACTAAATACACACATGAAAAACCAACAGGGAAACAAGTGTGCTTTTCAGATTGTCAGGCATTTTGTTTGAACCGTTGACAGTTTTATATACCTATAGAGGTAATTATGTGGGGTTTCATGTCACTAAAATTTGTCTGCAGCCATAGATGCGTAGACCTCTTTAGATATGTCTTGCATGCTAACCAGTTTTATGATCCTGTTTTCTCCATATAGTATTAAGCCTGACTCTCATTGATTTGCCGGGAATCACTAAAGTGCCAGTAGGGGATCAGCCTGCAGATATTGAGCAGCAGATCAGAGACATGATAATGCAGTTCATCTCTCGAGAAAACTGCCTGATACTGGCTGTGACTCCAGCTAACACTGATCTGGCCAACTCGGATGCACTGAAGTTAGCTAAGGAAGTGGACCCTCAAGGTAAGCGTGATTGAACATAACCACTTTTTGTTCTCAAGTGCAGTAACATAATTGGAAGTAATTGACCAACTCTTGTGTGAAATATAATTTATAAGATATAATATAGATGTGTATATATACATTCTCATATAGGCTTCAACATTACAATAACTGTTTGTTAGCTCAGTGTAATTCAGGTAATGATGCTGTAAATGTATTTTTAAAATTTTGTCACTATCTCTTACAAGCAAGTGGGGCAATGCTTATCTAGAAATTCTTGTAGTACCTAGCAAAATGGACCATGGTGCTGATGGGATTTCTGGATACTCGCATCATAAATTTTATACAGTCATATCATAGGAATGCTAAGCCTTGTTAAAGAGATTTGAGGAACACGTTTCAGCACTGGCAATGATGATCCCTTCTTTTCGAGATGTACCATAACTTGCAGTTGTAGCTGGTATTGTGTGATACATGCTTTGAGAATGTTACATATCTGTTGTTATATAATTGTAAGATGTAATTGTTCTTTCTGAATATAAATGATTTTTCACTCTTTTTCCTCCTGCCTCCACCCTGGTCAGGCCTTAGGACCATCGGTGTGATCACAAAATTGGATCTGATGGATGAAGGAACAGATGCAAGAGAAATTCTAGAAAACAAACTACTCCCTCTTCGTAGAGGTGAGAATGTTCAGTTGCCTATATTCTTTGCAGTCCAGAAGGTGGTTTGGATAAGCGTGGTGTTTGGGAGTCCTGGAGGTGAATCAAAGGTTATGCTAGACTTGATGAGTTCCTAGCTTTTATCGTTTTCTATTCAGCAAGCATAAAAGAGGGCTGTGCTAAAAATATCCTGCAAGTAAAATATTTTTCTTTCTGGACCCAGAAATTACACGGCATCTTCCAGAGGAAACAAGAAATGTCAGCACAAGTTGATAGCCAATTTTCTTTTCTGTGCCAGGTTGCTGTCCCTTGTAACAAAGGAATCTTTTTTCTTTGCATATGACAGAAGCAAGCACCAGAGTTTTGGTAATCTCACTGTAAACCAAGTTTTGACCCCTTCCAGAAATTTTCTGTGTGATCGTTCTGGCAGCTACCATCACAGTTGCTCATGCTGTTAACAATATCAAGAATTTTTATTCTAGTTATAATTTATTGATGAGACCACCATCTCCTCCCATGGAGCATGTTGGTCCAGTGAAAGACAATAAATTTTCCTTTATTTTGCTAATATCGTATCACTTATCTATGTAGACCTGTGTGTGTGTTTTGATTTTGTTTTGGGGTTTTTTTGTTTGTTTATTTTTAAATGGTTTCTTTGGGGTACACCAAAGTTTCAGATATTTCTGTATTTGATTCAGTGATTTAAAAGGAAGTATATCTATTATACATAAACAGGATGAACAATTTAGACACTGTTAAGGTCATTACAGTACTTGTAAACAATATCTGACATGCCTAAATTGGAACGTTTTGATTGAACTGTGGCAGTCTAGTTCTACTTAATATGAATTCAGTAGTTCAGGCAATAGCTGCATTGACTTACCCATTGGTTTTGTGTTGTTTTAGGTTATATTGGTGTTGTAAACAGAAGCCAGAAAGACATTGATGGGAAGAAGGACATAAAGGCAGCTCTTCTAGCAGAAAGGAAATTCTTTCTTTCCCACCCAGCATATAGGCACATGGCAGATCGGATGGGAACACCGTATCTCCAAAAAGTTCTAAACCAGGTAAAACCTGAAGCCTTTGTGGAGAAAGGCAGCTTTTATAATGATAGGACCAATAGAAAATCTTTATTAAAATGAATGTTGGTCAGTGAACCTCATTTATTCTTTCCTGCTTTTCAATTTTCACAATGTGATTAACAAAACTATATTACATGTAGCATACAAAAACTTACTGTGAGAAGTGGTTTCTGACTTTTACTGATAGTTCTGCACTCTCTTGTTCTCTTGAATACTGAAAATGAACATAGAAAATAAGATTCAGCTGCCTTGCTGGAAGTATACCATCCTATTCCTTAACTATCACATTTCTTCTAGTTTAACAGGATTTTTAGAGTTCAAATTTAGAAATTATAAAAAAAAAAAGACGTTTTTAGAAATCATGGATCCTGAGGGTTCACTGTATGTCTGTACTTTAACCTCAAAATCTATTAAAAACTACAATAAAGTGTAGAAACAGTGTACGATATACTAATGATATACATGACAAAAACAGTAATCGGAACACTTTGTTCATGCTACCTTTATTTTTGCCCAAACCTTTGGTTTATTTCTATGACTTCATGCCAAACCGTGTCAGA